TCTMTTTCTCTCTCTTTCTTTCTCTCTGAGTTTCTCGTGTCGCAACGATCGCGTCACTCTGTTACATAATGAATTTTGCGTCTTCCGTTCGTAGAGATCGCTTAATTATCTTCTCAATTGTACTCGTCGAACAATGCCGTGCGACAATAGCACACGGAATCGTTTTCATAATTGAAAGCACCCAGGTTGCCTACCGTCATCTGGATTTTCTACGTTTTCGTACTTTAAGAATAGGCCGGGAACGACGATTTTGCGGTTAGGGAACGAACGATTTTATTCTCACTTACATATTCTCTCTCTTTCTCTCTCTCTCTCTCATAAGAAAGGGATCCAACGTTTAAGATCTAATTAAAAAATCTGTCAAAAGTAGATCTAAAAGAGTACGTAATTATAATGATTTGTTTACTTAATAATTACTTGTGTTATTCCTTTTATATTATATTCTTGTTATTATATTTTATATATAATTGTTTTTATTTTTTTTTCTCTGTATATTACGATGAACGTTTAGACGACGTTAACACTTTTTGCCTGTCGAGTAATTTAAAAAAGAAAAAATACCTCTCATTATTTAATCAATGAAAGCTTCAAAAGTCTTCGTCACAATAAGAGAAAGTACGTTGTCGAAAAGCGTCGTATCTTCTTTTTTTTTTTCCTCTTCGTCAAATTTTAATGAAGTGTTCAATTTGCCAACTCGTTCTCACACCTATCACACGAGTACAACTCTATTTTCAGATTAGTACAAGCAGTAAAATAAACGAGAGTAAGGAAAAAGAAGACAAAAGTAAAGATAGAGAGAGAGAGAGAGAGAGAGAAAATGAAAGAAAAATTGTCGAGTGTCACATTGAAAAAACAGAAGTGCTGTGTGAAAATTAGTTGAAAATAAAATTAAAAAAAAAATAAACAAACGTGTAAAATCGTTAACGTCAAATGTAAAACGTTTCGTCGTAGTTTAAAAAAAAAAAAGGGAAATAAATTATCCAATAATAATTAATTATCAGAGAAAATTGTATATCGATAAAAATTATTAACATATTTCTATTTGTTCTTCAAACCGAATAACTCGAAACATTTTGCATTTTCTTGACTCGGAAAAAGAATTCAATTTATTTCCATATTGAACTTATAATCGAAGATCTTTTGAATAGGGTATTAAAAGAAAAAAAAAGAAAGAGAGAGAGAGAGAGAGAGATATTTTATTCTCTATATATTTAAATATAATAGAAATCATTTGCAATTCAAAATGATGAATATATATTTAGACGAGGGAAAACACATTTAATAATAGTATCGAAACTCGCGAAATCTTGTAGTATTCGGGGTAACAGCAGTCACGTTCTTGAACTAGGTACAGTCAGGGAAATTAATCAGACACGAGCGCGTGTTAGCGACACACTTCTCTTCCCGCCTGTGTGTATCATTAGTTACTAGAGAACATTGACTCAGGAAATTCTTGACATTATTATTCTTAAGAAGACTTCGTTGGATCTCGATACCGAACTAACTAACATAATACCCGTGTACTATAACAAGTGATTAAACATTTATAATAGAACAACGTAGAAACACACTTTACGTTAGAAACTTAATATAGTATATATATATACTTAAGAAAATATAAAATAGAAAATAAATAAATGATCTTTCCTCTATCGTGTAATAAATACAATTCGAGTAGTATCGATTTTAGAGGATTAAAAAACAGGATTCCGCGGTCTCGGTGTAATTACCGGCATCGACTCTCCTGTAAAAATGTTTCTTCGATCGAACACCATTGAGCACTTTCCAAGCATTCGAAGCTTTCGTTCTTTCGTTCGTTCGTTCGTTACGAAACTATAGAACGTTCATCTCTCTCTCTCTCTCTCTTTTTCTTTCTTTATTTCTTTTTTCTTTTTATTTTGTCTTTCTTTCTTTCTCTCATTTTACTCTTGTATATCTCACCCAATACTATCTCGAAGCAGACGAATCGAATTAAGTCTCTAGGACCGTTCTAGTTTTAACGAACAGTAGATTTGCTCGACACGTTCATCGATTCGCTTTCTACTACCAATAGTTTCTTCCACACCATGTAGTAGTATTACACAGGACTCTCGTGTAACAACGATAAACCACACTCTTGTAACTTCTTCGTTGACACCACCTCTCCTATTCCACGAGAATACGTAGGTAAACAAGTAGTTTTATTCTGTCGCGTAAATATAGCCAGTAGAAATGGAATCGCATCAGACAGGATTGTTCGGTGAGAGATCGGTGTTTGTCAGCTTTCAACGAAACCTGAACGATCTCTTTTTTTCTTTTTCTTTTTCTTTTTTCTTGTCGAATATCCTTCAACTAACGACACGATACTGCCATTTAATTCGATTAACTTTTAAATGCTCAATTACACAGACACCAAATAGTTTTATTCCATTTTACGTTTTGTACTGACATTTAAGAAAGTAATATAATTTAATTGTATTTTTTTTTTTCTTTTTGGTTATAATTTGTTCATTTAATAATTAAACATAGTACAGATCACATCATTTACTTAGCATATAATTATATCGTTAATAATTTTCATTCCATCGACTTATTCAATTATTAAAAATTATCAAACCGTAGTTTCAATTTAAAGCCAATATAATATAAAATAAAATATAATTAATTTTACAGAAATAATTTATGGTTGAGATAAATTGGAGATCTATTGGAGATACAATTTGTATGAGTAATAAAACGAGTAACAAAACGTTTGAAAAATTGTTGAAAATATTTCCCAGTATTCGACGCGTCGCATATTTTGAGATTCTCTTTTATTCCTTTATCAAATTTTCTGTCTTTCTCCTCTTTCTTTACCATTTCTTTACTATTTTTACCACAGTCATAGCCTTTCAAATGCATACAGTACTATTCGCCAAAGTCACCTATATAGTGCAAACATCTAAGTTCGTGTGTGTGCGTGTACACGTGCGGTTGCCTTGGATCTTATGCCGTAGAACTCTGGATAACGTGTTGTGTATTGGAAAGGTATCGCGATGCTTGGAATGTTTAATACCGGCGCAACGACACGCCATCGTGGAGAAATGGTCGGCTTCAGCTACGGAATAAATCTCGTGAGAATCGTGCCGACCTTCTTTTTCTACTCTTCCACCTTTTCTTCCTTTTTAACTTCCTTTTTCGCACCATTTCCAAGATCCAATACGATCATTGAAGAATATTTTCTTTGGTAAATACGAACTTATTGATGTGAAACATTTATTGCGCTTTTACAACCAACTGAGCTCTTACATCTCTCTTTTTTTTCTCTCCCTCTCTCTATCTCTCTTAATGAAAATCTTTTTTTGAATTTTGAAACTTGTAATATTATGTCTAACTTCAAATTCTCTGACCCATATAGAAAATAGTTCTTTAATTTAATTTTATTATTATTCAAATGCTTGTTATATATTTAATTTATTTATCATTAAAAAATAAACACGCAATCATAGAACGATCTGATCATTGATAAAAAATAAAAGCTAAATATTTTACGTCCCAAAAAATAATTCTTACGAGTTTCATTATAATCGAATAATACAAGATTTATTTGCATACGTATCTTCCGATCAAATGCCTTCATGTTCGTAGGTTAAGTACGTTCTATGCAGTTGGAAAGATGACGTTGAATACTCTTTGTTTGCTATGAACGTTTAATTGCGATCCAGAGAACGGGAAGAAGTTGTCTATAGATTTAGTGACGGAGAACGTTCGTTAGAATTTCATTAGGAGTCGTAAGTTTGGAGCCGATTACATTTGAAAGACCCGGTCAGTTCGAAAGGGTACCTAGCACTTTCTGTCATTGTGTTTGCCAATGGTACCGGCCAGTTACGTGACTGAGAAAATGTGATCGTCGAAATCCCTTATTCGTTCCTTTTACCAGAACATAGTAGAGAAGTTTAATTCACTGATCGTCTGTATAAGTTTTTTAAACAAACATCATTGAAAAGTATACCTCGTGAAAAATCACAATCTTTCATATATCGACTTTATATTTCCTTCTTTCTCTATCTCTTTCTAAATAAAAAAAAAAAAACAAACAAACAAAATCCGTATCGTTATCGAATCATTTGTAATGCCGTAAAAGTATCTACTTTGAAATATACAGTTGTTGCTGTTGAAAATTACATAGAAAGTCTGCTCTATTCGTATCTAAATAAAATCACTAAAGGAGGATTCAATAGTGAAAGGAACTGAAACGAAGCAGTAGAGCATAGACGAGAAAGGAGTTAGGATATCCGTTTACATTCGCATTGACTCGAATTACTTTTTCTTGTGAAAATAGACATGGGGGAAAACAGAAGTAAGAACGACGTTTACGATCTCACGACACATTTATTCTTTCTCTAAATATATTATATATGTTTTACAATAAAAATCAAAAGAAGAAGAAGAAGAAGAAGAAGAAGAAGAAGAAAAAAAAAAGAAAGAAAGGTATTGTAAAATAAGAATGATATTATAAATCGTAAATAATGCTTTTCGAAGTATTCAAAGTTTTTACTTATCTGCAATTAAATGTCAAAGACGAAGACGAGTGAAAATAATGTATAGGTATATATTCCAGCGGTGGGAATTACACAAAAGTATTTAAAGAGTCAAATCGACGAGAGAATACAATTTGTTTCGTGCGAAAGTTTTTACGTACGAATGGGTGAGAGTCATCCATTAGCAAAGTTCGCGATAGCAGCTGGAGATCGAGAGAACACGAACGTTTAATTGGCCCCTGTAAAAAATGCTCTTGGGTATATCGTACGAGTGGAGATACAACGAGCCGTTTCGATCGGCTTAAAAATGTATCGATGCATCTACCCAATCGTTTCTAGCTTAATACCGAAATAAAAAAAAGAGAAAAGTATGTAGTCGAAAAACAAACAAACACAATACGCAACACAACCGCCCACATCTAAATACACAAACACAGAAAAATATTGAACAAAGGATAAAAAAAATATATATATTTGTATATATATATATATATATATATATATATATATATATATTAGGGAAAAAAATTTATCCAGTCAAAGGGTAAACACGTTCGCTATACTCTCGATAGTTTTTGGCGTTGCAGGATACAGCTGTGACCTGATTGATGATACTTTTAGTATATTTTGTTCGTAGATCAGGTCCACCAGCGATCAATGGTGGTCCAGCTATGAGAACTCTTGGGATTTCGAGATCGTATGGTTCGCTCGAGTAAGAGGGGAACTTGCTGAAGCAACCATCGTGATTTCCACCGGGTGACTTCGGGAATGGGACATAAATGGGTCCAGTGGCAAGGATCTTCGGTTGAATTTCCTTTGGACGCACGTACGTCGGTCCAGGTCTTTCATCGTAATAAGGGTTCGGTGGAAAATGATCGAGAGGACTGCTCGTTGACACAAAACTCGGCCGAGTTTTCTCTGTGGAATATGAAACGTCCACGAGTTAATGAATACCAATGTGTAATTTTCACTTAAAATTTGTATTTATGCATGTATTCTCTACCCATCTCTCATTCGACAGCAATGAAAACACCGAAAAGCGAAAACGGGAAGCTTAATTAGCTTTTGGCTTACTAACTACTACGAAACCAACGAGCTAGGAATTTTATCCTATGTAAAATATAACTTCGTATAAATTATATACTTTGTATTTTTCTCTGAGCGGTCATTGTACTTTTTATTATATACCTGTCTCTTTCTCTTTTATTAATGTGACACTAAATCTTAAGCTTTATGATCGTAAAACGTAATCACACAAAAGGTTAGTATTATAAAAATATAATGAAAATAATTTCACTAAAAATGATGAAACCGTTGTAAAATGATTATCATTAGACTAGGCAAAAAAAAAGTTTAGTTATTATAAAAATATAATGAAAAGTAATTTCGTTGAAAATGTGGGGTGAAACCGTTTGTAAAATGATTATCATTAGACTAGGCAAAAAAATTATCAAAGAGGGTAAGCTATTTAAATACACACGCACAAAAATGGTAGTAAAGAAAAATATATTTCTTTTTTTTTTTTGTTTTTTTTTTGTTAGTATTGTAGAAAGAGGACTAGAGTATAACTAATGCCAATGACTTTTCGAAGAATTCAAATATGTATTACCTACTTCATGAGGTGGAAACTTTAAGTGGTCATAAAGCATGGTATTAAGCGTCTCACCGCAGACTATGAGAATTACATCTAACACCGGCCAGTGTTGAGACCATTATTTCGCATTAACTACGAGTTCCCTCTCTCTCTCTCTCTCTCTCTCTCTCTCATACTCTCTTTCTCTTCTCTCAGTCTCTCTGACTTTCCTCAAAACTTTGCATTCCTCGCTTCTCGCCGAAATAACATCGTTCGCGGCTTACTGCCATAATCCTTATCTCGTTTAGCGAAACACTTAAAAAATCGTTACGTTAACTTTCAAGGAAGTCGTCTAACTTGCACGCTTACTCGAATGAAGATCAGTTAAAGCAAACTTTAGCTTGTAATGTAACAGGCTGAGAAGAAAAATATCTTTATCCGAAATGTTTCTTATACAAATGAAAAAAATCTTTTACACACTAACGCACACACATAAACGTATAGGAATAAAAGTATTATATATGCGAAGAAAATGTTCAAAGCAAATTTACCTTTTTCCTCTTTCACGTCCCGAAACGCGCGTATAACGCATATGCGGCAAGATAAAAAGAAAAACGGAAGATAAAGAAGAAATGAGGGAGAAAGAGAGAAAGAGAGTAAGAGAAAAAGGGAGCTTGACACATGGGACTTAAAAGAAAAAATATAGAAAAAGGGAGTGAGGACAGAAAAGAAAAAAAAAGGACGAAGGAAGAAGAAGAAATTAAAACGCGAAGGGTAACACAAAAGAAGAAAAGTAGATCGTATGGATCAAGATGAAAAGCGTGACTTGGTAGCAGCAGCAACTAAAAAAAAAAAAAAGGATAGAAAAAAAAAAAATAGTCAAAAACGATCTTAACTACGCGGTGGTACGCGTGCTCGCTTTGCGACGAGCACTTTGTCAACGTGGAAGATAAAGCACCGGATGCGAAGATCTCTTTTAAAAAAGTACGCTCGTTCCTCCTCGCGACTTATTTATTTACGTTCATGAGAGAGAAAGAAAATGAGGGGAAAAGAAAAAAAGAATAAAAAAAATAAATAAAAAAAATGGGCGCATGTATGTATGTATGTATGTATGTATGTATGCATGGTTAGAAAATAGAATGGGATCTAAAAAGAGAATAAAAACAAAATCAGAATTTACAGGAGAAAAATAAAAGCTTAGGTGCGAAAGGTTAACATTAGGTTTAATGCTGAACACCATCATCCAATATTTATTTTAATCTCCTGGCAAGAAGCAAACGTTATTGTTGCCTTTTTAAAGACTATTCGTTAATCCACTGCTGTCGTGTTTTCTGTATTTCTTTCTCAATCTCTCTCATACATACAACTAATACGGTTCATAGTTAATATTATTCATTTTCATTTCCATTTCCATCGTCTTCTTCTTCTTCTTCTTTATTCAACTTTTGTACTTTAAAAAAAAAATCGTTTCTTTTTCTTTTATTTTTAATTCCTTACATCAGATACCTCATTTTATTTTTCGCAGCCTAGATGGTAAAGGATTTTAGTTTGTACTATTCATTTCGACCGCACTCAAGTTCTTTCACGTTTAATGAACGTAATCTGGTAAGCGACGCGACGCAGCATGACCTAATTACACTACCGAAAAGGGCCAACACACGTTCAACACATAGGACGGTTACGTTGTCGACAGGATAAAAAAAGCTGTAAATTCAGAGCTCCTCTTTTTTCTCCATTTTTATTTTTTTTTTTTGTTCTACCTGTCTTTCCGTCTCTCTCTCTCTCTCTCTCTCTCTCTCTCTCTTTCTATCGTACCTTCCTTTCTCCTTCTCTTATCCTTCCTTTCCTCAGGATCGTAGGGTTCGTGGGAATAAGTGGGATAAGGGCTGAAGCAAATATCCGCATATCCCGGTCCACCGAGTTTCCCAGGTTTTATCTTGAAATTTGCTGGCTCTCCTCTATCCGGCTCTCCTCTTTTTCTTTTTCTCTTTGGTTCCGCTCTTAATTCAGGACTAAAGTAAGTTGGTTTGCCGAAACAACCATAGGAGTCACCAGGCGTCGAATGCTTTTTCGAGGGTGACGGTGGTAACAAGGGTGGACCTTTTACTATCTTGATTTTCTTATTTTTAACCTGTCACACATGTGACAATATTTAATAGATATTTATAACATTTTACATCTTCATTACTTTTTAACGAACAAATATTTAGATACATATTGTAGAAATAAATTCAACATATTTGACGAAGCGAGCTTGGTAATTTAAAAAACACTCGATCAATCTTAATATTAATTCTTTATCAAATTCCTCCCCTACGTATTTTTACTTTTTAAATTTACATTTCGATAATTACAATATAATATTATGAAAATAATAAATATAAAAAATATCACGACGAGAGAGAGACACACACATAAAAAATATGTGGATGATAATAAAATTTCGCATGATATTTCTCTCTCTCTCTCTCACGGTGGAATGAAATGAATTCTTTTTTAATTACCTGTGATATCGGGTGCCATGATTTAGGAAGTGCCTCGCCTACGAAAATTCGTTTGAATTCTTTCTCGAAGAGTTCAAGGGGTGGACCGGGAAACAATTGTCGACCCTTTACAACATTTTGCCGTATCTCAGTCGGTGGACTATACGAATCGAACGGTCCGTTTGGGATATCGTCGAAGAAACCTCAAGGAATGAAAAAGGGAAAAGGACAGGACAGGAAGGAAATTAAAATTGCAAAGAGTGTTTCGATCGTTCTTCGAACTCGAAGGTATTGAAGTCGTGTGAAATATTCATTACCGATTCGATCAAGATCTGGTTTCCCGTATCGTCGGCCCAATTGAGTTACCTCTTCCAACCGTCGCCTCCTCCTCCTCATCCTCTTCCGTTCATGTGGTAGACGTTTTGACGTGTATTATGTCATCCATTATCACCTGCTTAACTTTCAGGTTAAGTCGAACGATTTCCTATCGATCTTTTTAGAAAAAAATTGAAACTTCTTAATCTGGCCTCGTATCACCGTGATAAACACATCAATTTATTCAAATTTATTTATATTTGAAATTATTAAAATAATAATTTTAAAAATATCTAAATTATTCTTCGCGTATACGAGACTATTATTACATATTTATTTTAAATATAAAATTATATAGCTAAAACAAAGCTGACTTTTATAAAAATTAGATTTAAATATTTGAAGAACACGGAGAGATATTTTTAGATGTTATTAATATTATCCATATAAATATCTTAATTTATATGTTTGTGTAATTTTTTCAAAAAATCTTACTACGTCTTTTCAAATAAATATTAATACTTTTTTTTCCTAATAATAATAATATAAAAATTGAAAAATATTTCGGAATATTATTGTAAAAAAAAACAAAAGAACGAATTGTTACGTTCAATAATCGTTTCGAGAAACATTTATTTTAGAGTTCTTCAGCAGAATGATCCTCTGGCCGTGAAACAGGATCGGCTGAGAAAATCCAGGATGATCCCGTTTCATCGGTCGCCATACTACAATAACTGTCTTTTCCTGTCTTTGAGGTAAAATTATATCCCTCAATAAAAGTCCGACTAAGTCGATTCTCCTAAGAATAAAACGTTCTTCGGTCCGCCGTCATCGCTATTCGAGTTTTCCTCTTATTCTTAATGATCCAAATTAGCAATAAAATCTGTCGTGCGTAATGGTAGGACATTAATCTAAACTCCACGAATCTTTTTCTTTTTTTATCATTTTTTTTTTTGTTTTTTCTTTTTTTTTTTTTCTTCTTTCGAGAAAACAGGGGAAAGGAAAAGAAGAAGAAGGGGCTTGATCGTCGTGCTTTGTTTTCCCCATCAACGCTTATCTCGGTGATTGATACTCATACGTATTATACGCAATATACTACAGACAATGAGAAGAAAGATGATAATAAAATATCGGAAGGGTCAAGTTGACAGTTTTAAATCATGCGAATGAAAATCATTTGTCAGTTGGATGGATAAACCAAGGATGAAGGACGCATGATTTAGCGTAATACTGTGAAGAGTATCTTTTTCGAGAGAGAGACAGAGAAAAAAAAAACACAGGTAAACAAAATCAAAAAGAAAGAGAGAAAATAATCATAAAAGAAAATATAAGATAAGAATAACGATATAAAGAAAAGAAGAAAAGAAAACAACAAACGACAACAACAACTTTGAATAATATAATAAATATTTAAGTAGGTAACTTACTTATATGAAAAAATACGAGTTTGTAGTCTCTTTTGAAAGATCGAGAAGAGATGACGGTGCTCGTTCATCGACGACGTACCTACGCTTTGCTTCTTTTGACTGATCACCTGTCGTATCCTTGTTAAATTATGAACAAACTGTCCTATTCTTCGTCCCTTTCTCTTACTCTCTCTCTCTCTCTCTCTCTCTCTTTCTCCCTATAGTTAACCATCCCCCATCGCTCACATTCATTCCCCTTTTTATACGCGGTATAGATAGGGTTGGTATATTCAAACTTTATATTTTTATTTTTTTACATTCAGGAACGTGTTTCTACTAAAAATAGATAACCTCGATTACGTATAAATATACTTTAATGGTACCTTATCTTTTTTTTTTTTTGAGCGAGAGAGAGAAAAAAATTATGATTAAAAGTATTTCAAGTATTATTTTGATCGTGTCACTCGTAACATCTGTCTTTTTCTCTCTCACGTGTTATGGCTAAATACTATGTCACCAAAGTTTAATGTAATAAGTTATAATCATGCACATGCACACAAATAATTGTAATATCTATATATAGATACACACACAAACATATTCTCTCGCTCTCTCTTTCTCTCTCTTTTTATCTTTGTACGCTTTTCTTAATTAAATATATTAATTTTAACGTAAAACCTGTGACATCCATTAACAGGACTTTCGATTAGCACATTCAACGCTCGTAAACCAGAACGCAAAGTTTACCGCCATGACGCAAAGCACAATCAGTGTAAAATTTACATTACCAACGTCGAAGAGGTAAACTCGAATTTTCATCAAGATTCTTATGATTTTATGATACCGTTCGAAGCCCACTATTCTCAATTTCTCTTTCTCTTTCTTATTGTAAAACTTTCTGTAATATATGCAACGTATCTTACTGAAATAAAATTTTCAACATTACGCGACTACGATCGATTAGAATGATTAAAAGTAATTCAATCTCTTTATAAATATTATACTTTATTTATCTCTCTCTCTTTTTTATATAGGTACGCATAATGACCGTCATAACTTTTTTGTTACTTTCAATTGAAAAATTATTCAATGTCAATGAATTACAAAAATATATTTTATCTAATATAGAAATTCTCGAGGCAATATATTTAAAAATAATTATTTATTTTTATTTTTATAATTTGTTTTTATAGTTTATTTCGTCACATTACTCGGAAGTGCTTGTTACAATCAGTATTAACAACAAAAATCAGTTAAACGTATTAAAAATATCGAAGAAACGATCACTTCTTGGTCAACAAATAATTGACCTGGTTTTCTTCAATAATGAGTCAGCTCTAATTAGTTGACTTGGCACTGTCGGATATCTTTCCCTCCGGTTCTACCCATCTATAGCAGCAAACGGGTTTCATTACCGACTGTTTGTAAACGGCACTAGCTCAGGAAACTACGACCTTATCTTTGCGTGATTTATACTTAGGCCAGCCAGCCAACGTTGTAGACTTCAGACCCGACGGACACGTAGTTATGTACTCACATTGAAGCTAACTTTGACTTTGCGATTCTACAGTTTACGCGAGAATCCTGTCATTACTAGCAGCAACGTTAGCCTAACTTCAAACGTTTAATTACACCGTTTAATTTATATCAATCCTATTTACCATGGCAATTGAACACTCTTATGACTACCTTTCTATTTTCTTTTTTCTTTGTTTATTTTTTTTTGTTATAACCCATTTATTCGATCGTATCTTAACGCATCGCGAACGAATTTAATTCGATTAAATCGTCTCGACGCGTAAAATTAATGAAATTTCGAAGAAAATAGATTTTTGTTTATCGACCATGTAAACGGCCATACCTACACCTCGTTTTCATTTGTATTCATTAACTCAGGCCTCCATCGTTGAATATTTTTTCTTAATTAAAGCTTTAGCCTTCTTAAGAGCGTATAAAATGGAAGAAGGAATAAAAAAAATTCTTGAACCCATATCTTTTTTTTCTTCTTCTTCTTCTTTTTTCATATAACGCGAATATGCGGTGCAAGCAACGATATAACGTTATAACGACATTACCGAGAGGCTTCTAATGGTTTTTTCATTGATTAAGAAAAGCGGTCTCGATAAAAAAATTTCGTTTAAAATTCTTATTCGATTAACTCGTTCCTGTCAAGGTTAGCACAAGATAACCATAACTCGTTTCAACCTGTGGAAACTAATCGAGAGATCGAAGAGCTTTAAATCGTATCGGTGCAAAAAAATTGGTCGCCCATTTTTCTCGTTTTTCTTTTTTTTTTTTTTTACCTAATACTTTAAGAGTTGATATAAATATTTTACGTTATCGTGATAGTAAAGAAAAACATAGCATTTAAATATAAACTTGTAACGAATGTTTCATCTCTTTGCCAATTAATAAGACGGGAGAGTATTAATGAAAGAAAATGAAAATTGTGAGGTAACAAATTTTCGAGAAGTACTCTGAATGCAATTTTTTTACATTAAGGAAAAGAGCAATCTTTCTCCAAGATTAAGATTCTTTTTTAATTTTTTTTTTTTTTTCTTGTATTTTCACCAAGATCGTCATTTTTCATCAAATAATAATCGCCGTTTATTACTCGTCAGATAATATTTCGTTCTCGATCGTATCAAATAAGTTACACTTGAATTATATTTAATTAATATCTGCATAACTTCTCTAAAATATATAATAATTCAAATTGAAGAAATATGTGTAAGTAAAAATTGTATCATAGATATAAATATATATCTACGTATAATATTTGCATAAATAATATATAACACACGTCGTATATCTATAAATAATATTTGGAAATACATTTATAACGAGGCACATTTATATATTTTAAACTTTCAACTCGTGACATTAAAATTTTAACTTACGATTACTCGGTACTATTCTCCCTCGCGAAAAAGAAAAAAAAAAAAACAACTTAAAAAAACGTTCCAAATTCTTTCCAGTTTTTGCATAATTTCGAATACCAAATTGGAGCGACCAAGTGGTGAATGAGAAAGAGAAAAAAAAGAAGAAGAAGGAGAAGGAAAAAAAAAAGAAAAACAAGAATAGAAAAGTTGAAAAAGGGAAATCGGTAAACCGCGATCCCTTTTCTTTTTTTTCTTTTTATTTTGCGGATGATCGCGGTGACGAAAGTTCCGGGATACTTTTGTAAAAAAAAGAAAAAAAAAGGTATTAAAGGGCCGTGTGTAATAGTTCACTGTGGTAATTTCCACGTCCTATAAAGCGACATATTTCCATAGGATTTTCCGCGAAACTCGCAGGGGGAAAATGGAAGCGACAACGCTGCTTGCCGGCGTGATGATAAGTAAACTTTCGATTGCCGAAGCGACCTATTAAGATAAGGCACTATAGGTGCTAGAAGAAGAAGAAGAAGAAGGAGAAGAAGAAGAAGAAGAAAAAGAAGTGCAGTGAGAAACCACTCTGGTTGAGTTTTAAGGGAATTTTGTGTGTGCCAGGTAGCATGCGCCCTACTCGAGAAATCGCTTGAAGCTCCGAACAAGGAAAAGAAGAAAGGGGGGAAAAAGAAAAAGTGGTTGGAGGGAGAAAGAATAAAGAGGAAAGGAAATAGGTTTAGTGGAATGAGAAGAAGGAAGTCTAGAGCTTGGATTGGTTGGGATAGGATAATAAGAAAGCAGTCAG